GAATGCCGGGTGCTGCACTGCTTAAGCCACAGGACACGGTTGACTCCTCACCAACCTCCCCTCAGCCCTGGCTGCCAGCGGGCACGAGACGTCGTATACACATCCTGCTATTTAAAATATGTTCAAACCATAGTGTACATGCTAACTAACCATATTGGTATATAACCAGAATTTTATATTAAAAGGGACATCCTTTTTAAATGTATGCTGTGTAAAAATGTACTTGTAGGAAAATCTCTTCGAATTGTATTTCTTGTATATGACATTCATCTAGAGAGAGACCATTTTAGCCTGACAATGTGTTTTGGCTGTGATTGGAATAAATCATTTATTACCTTTGAGTCCCATTTAGGACACTAATAAACAAAATCATGGCAATGCATTTTTGAGGTTTTGAAAATTTATTTGATTTCTTTGCAGTGTCTGGGGGACAGAGAAAACTACTATCATCAAATTACAGTCATGACCTTTAAAAGGTGGGGAAAGGATGCCAGCAGGGGGTGTGGTGGTTAAAGGTGCTGGACTCCCAGGTGGCCAACCCCAGTTCGAGTCCCAGACCTGGTGGCTTGCTTTCTCACTTTCCTTCTCTCTCTCTCTCTCTCTCGCTCTCTTGCTCTGTCCCTCTCTGGTCAGATTAAAATAAGTAAATAAAGTTAAATACAAAATAATCATTGGGGGAAATAAAAGGGGTGGGGGAGGAACTACGGCCATGAGTTTATCCAAAGACTCTTGTTAAGCTCTAGACCGGAAAACGTCGCACTTTCTCTAACCTAGATCCACGCTACTCCAGGCCTGCTCTGAGAGCTTGCTAAAACAGGATCTCAGGCCCCACCCCAGGATGTACATTTTTAAAGACCCCACTTGATCTGTGTGCATTTGAAAGATACAGAAGCTCTTAAATGCTGGTGGGAATGAATCCATCCTAAAATGAGCAGTGAAACTGTGGGTGTAAAAGGAGACTGAAGGGCCAGCAGGCGGTGCTGGATCCAACCTGGCCAACTATGGTTCAAGTCCAGGGCCCAGTGGCTTGGAAATCACGCCAGGCACATATCCATGCATGCCCAAAATCCTGAGAGGAGATTGGAGAAGGGATTGCAGCATGGCCATCTCCTGGGTGGGAGTGGGAGGTGAGATTTCTTACTTTCCCTCCCTCTGTCTCTGGTGAGTGCATGCACCGCTCTATGACCAAAAAAAAAAAAGAAAAGGAAACCGAAATGTTCTATCTGTCCTGTGTCTGGTAGCATATGTGGCATTTTTAATGTATTGCCTTATTTAACCTCCACATCAGCTTCCAAGTTAGGTTAAATAATTGCCCTAGTTCAAAAGCCAGGGCTTGAACTTGTGGACTTTCCATTACACCCTGCTCACTGCCCCAGGGCCAGCTCAGCTCAGGATTCTCACAAGCCCCCACAGAGAAGGGCAGTGTACCATGGGAGTGTGCAGAACTCTGGCTCCCAAACAAGACCCTGAGACTTATTTTTAAAGGCAATGTTGATAAAGAGGGTAAAACTTAAGTATGGAAGTGAACCTGCCCATCCAATTTCCCAGCACTCCTCCTTGTAGACAAACCAGTCTGTTAGACAGTTCTGCAGCGACAGGCAGTTTGGCTGGGGTCACAGCAGGGAGTCACTGAAGGATCTTGAGTGTAATCTGCTCTGGAGATGTTGTCAAAGGCAATATCTTGAAGGACGTCTGCAAGAGCCTTTTGGACCTGGGGCAGTACGGTCTGGCATTCAGCACTACCTCTTTCCAGAGGCAGCCCTTCTGCAGTGTCACGGTCTAGATTGAAGATCAGGGGAAGCTCATGACGCTGCTCAGGCCCTACGGTCCCGTCACATGCTTTGGCCCCACCTAGAGAAAGGATGACAACAAACCAAACCCAATGAAACAAATTAAACTTGGTTTTTAACTGTTAGTAGGCATGTACACTCACCAAAGAAAATGAAAAGTATCAGTCATGCTGCCGTCTTTTCCCCTCCATTTCTCTATCCTACCAAGATTGGGGGAATGCACACACACACACATATCCAGTGTAGTTTCTGAGCTGCCAGTGCCAGGTTTTGAACTGCAGTTGGCCATGTGGGCTCTGGCTTTCCAAACACAGCACTTAGCAGCTGCACCACAGGGCCGGCACTGAACTAGATCCATGCTACTCCAGGCTTGCTCTGAGAGCTTGCTAAAACAGGATCTCAGGCCCCACCCCAGAATGTACATTTTTAAAGACCCCACTTGAACTGTTTGCCTATGAAAGATAGAGAAGCTCTTAAGCTTATTAAACTTAACTTTAGTTCTATGTCGTAGAGAGCAGGGCTGTGACTGATTATAAATTAATTCAAGGCTAGCTCCATGGCACAGTCGTAATGCACTGCTCAGGAGAAGCTGTATGCCACATGACAACCATGGTTGGAATCCCTGCCCTGGTGTGGGCACACACACTCATGCCTAATGCCTGGTAGCCTAGAAGACTGGATAAAGGGAATCATGCTGTGACCAGACCTGAGGAAAGTGCATGCACACACACACACACACACACACACACACACACACACCATGTCGTGAATAAAAGAAAATGCTATAAATAAAAGAAAACAGAAAACTCAGGATCAGCAGATGGCATAATGCTTATGTCTCTGGACTCCCATGTAGTTGACTGTGGTTCAGGTCCCAGACCTGGCAACTTAAAATTCATTCTGGGCACGTGTGTATGCATGCCTAAGATCCCAAGAAGAGAATGGAGGAGAAGGGATTGTGGCATGGCCATCCTCCTGGGGGTGATTTTTTGCTTCTTGTCTCTGTTTCTCTAGTGAACACATGCACCCTATAGCAAAAAATCTCTCTTAAAAAAAAAAAATGCTAAAACCCTATACCAGAACTTGAATATCGAAATAATTGCTCTTCTTATCAAAGAAATTACCTCGAGAATCTCTTTTCTCCTTCCACTGGTAATCTTACTGTCCAAACAATTTGGAACAACTTCTTGGACTTGTCTTTAGAGCTGCTGGAACATTTCATTCAAATATTGTTAATCTCTGCCCTTTGGGAGTAAAATTTATTTTAAAAAACTGATTTCTCAAATGCCAGTTGTAGTATAAATAATTTCACTACATACTTACGTACATTAGAATCTGAATTTTTTAAAGAGATATTTTGCTAAAGGGTGCATATGCTCACCAGAGAGACAGAGACAGAGACACAGAAAGTGAGAAATCACCCAGGTGGTGATGGGGCCCAAATCGGGTCCACACTGCAGTCCCTTTTCTTCCATGTTCCTCTTGGGATTTGGGGCATGCATGCACACACCTGGCATGAGTTTCGAGCCTCTGGGTCCAGGATTCGTACTTGGTTGGCCGTGTGGGAGTCCAGTAATGTAACCATTATGCCATCTGCTGGTCCCTAGAATCTGACTATTAGGGAAGCCCCAAAAGAGATATTACAAAAATGTTTGGACTTATGGCAGCATCCTTGGCTCTCAAAGATTCATATAGTTTGTTTTTCTTTTCCTGTTTCCATACACTAAGTAGTTAAGGGGGACCAGCATTTGGTACAATGGCTATGTCGCTGGACTCCCATGTAGTCGACTGCGGTTCGAGTCCGGGACTCAGTGGCTTAAACTCACGCTGGGCACGTGTGCATGCCTGCCCAAGATCCTGAGAGGAGAAGGGAGGAGAAGGGATTGCGTGGCCATCCTCCCTGGGGGTGATTTCTCGCTTTCTGTCTCTCTCTTGTCTTTCTGGTGAGCACACGCGCTCTATAGCAAAAACCTCTCAAAGAAAAAAAAAAAAAAGTAGTAGTTAAGGTATCTGACAGAAATAATATGAGTGAATAAACAAAAAGAATTAAGGTAAAGAACAGGCCTTGGATACACAAGAGTTCCCGAACCCCTTCTGTGCCTCTGAGCTTCCTAGCAACCAAACTTAGTAAGGTAGAAACTATGAATTGCTCATAAGCAGCAGAGATTTCTCTGGCACTGAGGTATCAGAATTCTTTCCAGTGGCTCCTCCTACAAGTGTATGGTGGAATGCCTAACAACATCCTTATTGTGATTAGGATGAACCAGCTGATGGCTTCTTGTCACATCCTTCACTATATGAGAGCATACTGCTAAAATGCAATTCAGTAGAAGATCTGCAGAGACCAAAGTCATGCTACCTAAGGATGAAACCCACTCTGGCCAGAAACGAAATTTGAAATGTTGAGAAGAATGAGATCACACAGCCCTCAGGCAATCCACCATTATGGTTTTCTTCTGTGACTGAGATTCGAGCAGAGATTAAGAATTACTGTCCTCACTTAGAAACTGGAGTAGATGTTGGCTGTTCTTCATGGCTAGAAAAGATCAGTGACATGAGCTTTGATGTCAGTTAAGCAGAAGTTGAGAGTGACTCCACTTATAAAATTAAAGAATTCCATGTAAGGGAATAGTGGAATACTATATATAGAACTAACCCACCTCTGGGTAATTATAAATTCCAGGCAACATTTTTTTTTTATTTATTTAAATTGAAGACACTAGAAAATAGTCAAAATGGCCAGAACCTGGAAGAGATTTGACCCTTGAAAGAAGGAAAGCATGCTGGGTTGGATCTGAGTTTAGAAACTCCTCCCCTGGGGGGGGCCAGCAGATGGCATAATGGTTATGTCACTGGACTCCAGCATGGTCGACCGTGGTTTGAGTCCCAGACCCAGCAGCTCGAAATTATCCCAGGTACATGTGCATGTATGTCCAAAATCCCAAGAGAATAGAGAAGAAGGAATTGTGGCATGGCCATCCCCCTGTGGGGGGGTGATTCCTTGTTTTCTGTCTCTCTGTCTCTCTCTGTCTCTCATGCACCCTATAGCAAAAATATCTCTTAAAAAGAAAAACAAAAAGAAATTCTTCCCCTGGGATCATTCTCCAGTCTGTGTAGCCTGGAGCAGTTAGAACTCAAGAAGCTGAGGTCTCTGTGGCTTGAAGTTTCAGAGTTGGGGGCTGCCACACCAGATGAATGTTGATATGGGGAAATGCTGGGAAGGAGAGAACCGTAGAGGAGAAGCCTCAAACTCTGCATATAACCCATGGGTGACCCCTAAACTGCGTGTACACAGGAGAGAGAGTCTAGCAACAACCAGAAGACTAAAATAGCTCAGCAGGCATTTCTACTGCTGCCTACTACAGGCAACATAAAGTTTATACTATGAGTTCCATTACATTAGGGAGGTTTGATAAACACCTTAGACTTTCCATCAACGTCCTAAAAGGTTCATGTAGGAGTGGAGACTATGTCCCAAAATGAAGGGATTTGCCTAAGAATAGGGCAAAATCTGGAAGAGTAGTTCTGACAAAGTGTAAAACCAAGCTTTTGCAAGTTCAAGGCCTTCAGCTACTAATTAGCTGCTTAGAATATCAACACTCAGATAAGAGAACTAAGACTCTCTACAATATAAGAGTATGTCCAAGAGTTCAAAGAAAAATGGAATTGAAGTACAAGTTTATTTTGGTGCAAGAAATGAATTTTGAAATCTATATACATAGTTTCCCTATAAATAATAGCTGATATGAAAAAAGTCACTAAAGAAATTCAAAGGCAGATTTGGACAGGCAGAAGAAAGACTATATGAATTTGAAGAAAGAATGATGAAGTGATTGAGTCTAAGGGACAGAAAAAAAAAATAGAGAGAGAGAAAAAAATGAACAGAGCCTAAGGGACTAGTGGAGTACCATCAAATATATTCACATAAGCATTGTGAGAGTACCAGAAGAGAGGAAGAAATGGGTGAGAACATATTTGAAGAAATAATGGCTGAAAATGTTTCCAATTTGAGGAAAGACATGAATATGAACATCCAAAAAGTTAAACATACTCCAAGTAAGATGAACTCAAAACTCGCACTGAGACACATTCTAATCAAACTTGCAAGAACCAAAAAGAAAATACTGAAAGCAGAAAGAGAGAAGTGACTCTTCACATACAAGAGATTCTCGGTAAGATTATCAGGGAATTTCTAATCAGAAACTTTGGAGCTCAAAAGGCAGTAAGTCAATATATCCAAAGTGCTAAAAGAAAGACTGTCAACCCTAAACCTTAAATCTGGCAAAACTGTCCTCCAAAAGTGAAGGTGACATTAAGATATTCCCAGACAGGTAGGGCCGGCAGGTAACATGGTGGTTGAGGTGCTGGACTCCCACATGGCCAACCACGCTTTAACTCCTAAACCTGGTGATTTGCTTTCTTCCTTTCCCTGTCTCTCTCCTCTTCTGTCTCTCTCTGGTCAAATTTAAGAATAAAAATAATAAATAAAACAATTAAGTAAAGAATTATTTTTTTAAAAAGAAAGAAGATATTGCCAGATAGGAACCAGGAAATGGCAGCATGGTTACATCACTGGACTCCCACATAGTCGACTGCAGTTCAAATCCCAGATGTAGCAGCTTAACCCTCACACCAGGTGCATGTGTGTGCACACCCAAAATCCCAAGAGGAGAATGGAGGAGAAGTGACTGTGGCATGGCCATCCCCCCTGGAGAGGCGATTTCTTGCTTTCTGTCTCTGTCTCTCTGGCAAGTACATACACTCTACAGCAAAAAAGCTCTCTCTAAAAAAATAAAAGATATTCTCAGATAAAGAAAAGCTGAGGAAGTTCATTACCACTAGATTTGTCCTGCAAAAAGTGCTCAAAGAAGCTCTGCAGGGTGAAATGAAAAGACACTGGATAGTAACTAGAAGCCATATGAAGGAATGAAGATCTTGATAAAGGCAAATATACTAGCAGTTAGAAGCACTAGTATTATTGTTTGGTCTGTAATGCCACATTTTGTTCCTTACATGACTGAAGAGACTAGTACATTTTAAAGAATTATTAGTTTATGTTCA